GGGGTGGGGGGTAGAGTGGGAACAACAGGTTTGAAAAACCAGTTTCATCCCAGTTGTACTCTGGAAGGAAAAAAAAAAGTCACAAATAATATTAATCATCATAGCTCATGATTTACAGTAAGAAGGCAGAGAAAAAAAAACACTCATTAATTCTGTCCTAATTTGGAAGGGAAACAGGCATACAGGGGGGAAAAAAAAACCTCATGTGTTATCTCTGGTTATTGGTAGTACCAACAATGTCTTCACTGTTTAGTGGATTCTGAAATCTAAAACTGTCAGTAGAGGAGACAGTGGAATTTTCTTCAAGGCTTAAGAGGGTAGGCCATGGGAGAGTAAGTATGATAAGGGACGTCTGGTAGGCTTGGTACCTCACCTTAGTGCTGCCAGGATACTTCTTTCTATGTTTGGGATAGGACAGGGAGGACAAAAGAAAACAAACTAGCAGACAAACCTCAATAACTAGTCCCTACCCACATCAAAGGCCCTGACCTGGCCCAGTGGTCACTTCTGTCACCTCTGGGAGATAAAGCATTAGACCAGGCTTTTCAGAAGGGACCTCTACCATTTCTCTCTAAGAAAGAGATTTTTCTTTCCCCCTAAAAGATAATCCCAGAATCAGGAGCAAAGAGGGAATTATCTTAGTGGTAAGTTTTCAATGTAATATGAATAAATAAAACAAGTGTTTTTTTTTAAGGCTATAAAAACCATCCAAGACCTTCAAAAGCATCATTCTTACACAATAGAATTCTCTTCTATAGACTGCTTTAGTAGGGTTAATCTCCAGATTTTAGAGAGATCAAAATCTGTTTCTGATGGACAAATTCATTAAATCAATAAATATTTACTTACATAGCAACTTGCAAGATGGATTCCCATTTCTTTTTTGTTTATATTTAGTTTTGGTTTGTTTCTTTGTTTTTGAGACAGGGTCTCCCTGTAGCCCCAGCTGGCCTGGAACTCTCTATGTAGACCAGGCTGGCCTCTATCACAGAGATCCAGCTGTGGGATCTCTGCCATCACATCCAACTGTTTTCATTTCTTATAAGGCTTCATTTAGTTACACAGACACTCCTATTATGTTATGCTCCAAACCACACCTAAAAGACAGAGCTTGAGACATATTCATGAATAAGACAGACTCTTATCTCTGATGGAAAGAGACAGAGTAAGATTTTTTTTAGCTAAGATCTCACTATGTAGTCCTAGTTGGCCCGAAACTTGATATGTAGACCAGGCTGGCCTCAAACTCACAGGGATATGCCTGTCTGTGTCTGGGATTAAAGGCGTGCCCACCAAGCCTGGTTTAAGGGACCATTAGCTAGACTCACCTGGGGGATTACTCTGCTCCAGGGCACCCTCAAGAGCAGCTGCTTGTTCAAAGGGCAAGGGAGAAGACAGCTGCAAGGACTTAAAATTTTAGTAATCTTCCAAAGTGGCTTTTAGCTGCTTGGGAATACCATCGTGTAACCAATCAGATTCTACAAGCAGCTAGCATACTCAATTCAGCCTTTCTGAGAAAACAAGACTGTGCGAGCACGTTCCAGTGGCATTCTTAAAACGTAATTAGCCTCCACCATGAAGACACACCGAGGTAAGCCCATTCCTTTCCTCTACTGCACCCTTCCCATGCCATTTATTCCTCCACATGCCAGCTGTGAGGTCCCCAAACCACCTTTACAGACAGACTCCAGTGTTTTGTTTAGAGCCAACTACCAGGAAATGCTGTGCTTTCCTTCAAGGAACTGTTATTTACTTCTTCATAGCTAAGTAAGCACAAAGCTGTTTCCTTTTGGTCTCCACATGCATTCAAGAGTCTGAGTCAACCTGTGTGATCCACACAGGACACTATCACTGATGAGGGTTTCTATCCTCCCCAGAAGGGTCTAAACCCTTTTCCCTGGCCCCATTATGATTCTATGTAGATTACAGTTAACCATCCTTGTGTTGTTATTTAAAAAGAAGCCAGGAGGCAGGTGTACCTGTAATCCCAGCATTCAGCTGGGAGGTGGAAGCAGATCAGGAGTTCAAGGTCATTGTTGTCTATATAGTGAATGCTAAATCAACCTGGGCTCCAGGAGAACTTGTCCCAAAAAAGTAAAAAGACTGTTTATATTGCAAACTGAAGACGTCTATGCAGGTTTGAACATTTTCTTGCCCCATTAAAAAAAAAAAAAAAGTCTGCTATGTATTAGCATCTCAGCAAATAAATGTTTAAGTTCAAAGATTTTTTTTTCCCTGAAATTTTACTGATTGAAAGTATTCAATATCAAAGGGTGCTTCAATTCAGTGAAGAACTGCTTTCGCCACTAAAATATAAGATCAAAGGCTTACTAAGACAAACCCAATACTTAAGAGGCAAGGGCCATACAAATCTGAGAAATATAATACCAAATCCCCCTTACTGAGTTAATAGCTACAATATAGTCATTGAGCAACAGTATAAGCAGGCACACCTCCACAAGGCAGTATTTCAGGGGTAATTAGTATTTCCTCCATTTCACAGACCAGGAATCCCACAGATGCAAAAGGAATTTCCCACATGATTGGGGCGGGGGGGGCTAGACCTCACATCTGTTTGCCTCAAGTCTATTCCACACTGCCTCCCAAAAACATTAAATGAGGTTTTAAAGAAACAAAATTCTGATATTTAATCAACTTGTTACACAATAAAGGAAAAGCAGAGAAAAAAAAGTATCCACAGTAACACTAAAAGTTCATGTTTCCATATATCCACTCTTTATCTAACAGCCCTACACTCTCAGTCAAAATTCAGCATCTCACACAAGCATGAGAATTTATTTGCTTTCCAAGCCCAGAACAGATGATAAACATTACAGGAATAATCACAATGTCAAGAAGGGGCAGGTGGATGACAAAAATAGGGCAGGACCAGACAAAAGTATCCTCTGGTCGAACATGTCTATGTACTTTACTAAACTAAGACACTGCTAGTTGAAATTCTTAGAATACTCCAACTTCCTCCTGGGACCCTGGGCCAATCACACCCATTCTGAGCTTCAACATCCTAATCAAATAAGGATGCTGAGCCATCCCAGTGGTCCTCCCCACCTCACAGGGCTCTGCTAAGATCAAAAGACTTCTATGAAAAGGGTCCTGTGTGGCAGCCCCACATAAATGAAGGGGGTTATTTTTTTAATGGGCTTGGTGCTTAAGCCTCACAGCCTTTTATAACTTTCCAAAGGTTCTGAACACTGAGCTTTTACTGTTTCAGACATTTACAGTGATAGTGATTCAGCCTGAGTTCTCTGCATTTCCTGGGGTTCTTGGCTCAGAAGAAGGGCAGAAGCTATTACATCAGTCAGCAAAAAGAAAACCAGCTTGGATATTAACAACCAGGAAAAGTCAATCACTTGAAGGGCTGCCAAAGTCACCAGTACCTCATTTACAATGCAAGGGAAAGAGGCTCCACGGACGCCAAAGGAGAGAGTCACGGGGAATTACGTTTCCCGGCCAGGGCGCAAGACACCCAGTTCCCACATGCCAGTGTCCTCAGTTTCCTAAACCTTGGGGTGTAAACCTTGAAAAGTCTACTTTTGCAACAAAGCTTTCCTTTGGTTTGGGTTCTACTGCCAATACAAACTTTTCTGCCTCTCTAAGAAACTCTGATAGGGGCAGAACATTTGAAAAAGTAAAAGACACAAAGATTCCGATTTTAGAAACAGACGAAAACCAATCCCTTGCTTCAGAGATTGAGCAGAATCTATTAGCTGAATTACAGTGGGATGCACACGGTCACAACAGCGGGAGAGACGAGCCCCCAACTTTCTCCTCGCTGGGGTTTGACAACGGTGCGCCCCATTACTTCTACGTAATTCCCTTCACAGCCCGGACACCCCCAGCTCCGGGTGTTAACAGTTCTGACAATGCCAGTGTATTCTCCCAGCGGTGGGACAGCGCGGTGACAATCCTGACATGCTCGGCTCCCGGGAGGTTAATGGGAATTAAGGCACAGCAGCCCTCCTTTGTGGCGCTTTGGCCGGAACAGCAGAAAGGAGACAATGAACGGTCTGTGCGCAGTTCCACGCCGATTGGCTGGTCTCCCCCCCCCACCCCCCCACCAGAAACCCCTGATGTCATGGGCTTGGAATGCAAGCGGGGAGGAAGGAGAGGATTTGAGGAGGGGGACGCCTCTCATCCCTTTCCCAGCCCAAAAGTCCCAAAGATAAACCCGGCTGCATTCTTAAGCTAAGTACTCAGCAAAGCTGAGCGTCACCAAATTCCCATCACTCCCAAAATACAACCCGGCTCAGCAAATAAACCCTGAACAAAAAAAGTGACCCTGCAAAGGTGGCCTAACAATCCAACGTGCTCCAAACTTCTCAGGATTTTTTTTTTTTTTTAGTCCGCAATCTGCAGCTGGTACCGCTGCGAGAGCGGCGCGCTCTGGCTTTGTCTGGGTTTCCCGGCACAAGCAGCGATCTGCATCCAGGCACCACCGACGGGCTCCGGTTCGGCTCGCGGGTCCCTGGGGTCGGCGAGACACTCAGCGTCCCCTCCCCCCGGGGGAGGCGAGGAACAATGAGGGGCCGGTTTGGCCACGTAACCTCCTCCCTTGGCTCCAAGGAGGAGGGGGTCGGGGTGAGAGGAGACGCAGGGTCCCACCACAGGCAGGGCCTGGCGGATGGCGGGGGCGGCTACCGTCGGTGTCCCCGCAGCCAGGCCAGGCCCCGCCTAAGGGCCAAGGACCAGAGAGGAGCGCCCCCTTCCCGGAGGGGAACGTCCTACAGCCACAGAACGGCCCCCGGAGGCTGCGGGACTCCAGACGCCTGGGAACCCACAGCGCCCGCCGGGGCCGGGGCGCGGGAACAAAGCCAAGGCCAGCGCTCGCAGCGGGCGCCGCCAGCCAGGACGCGCACGGCTCTTCCGCAGCCTCGACGGCCCCTCTCGGCCAAGCCCGGGGGTCCCGGGATGGTTTGGCCCGGCGCCGTCGGGGCGGGAGGGCCGCCCTCAGCCTCCCCGAGCCCGACCCCCGCGCGTACCTTGTTCTTGACCTCGGCGGACAGCCCGTAGGAAGGGCCCTTGTTGAAGTGGGTCATGGCGGTTCCGACGGCCGGACCGGACTGGCTGGACTCCGGGGTCTGTCGCTGTCGGCGTCCCCGCTCCTGGCCCCAGCAGAGGCCGCGCGGAAGATGCTCGAGTGCCTCCTCTGCGCTGTGCCGGAGACGCCGGGACGCGGCGGCTGGCTGAGGGCGATGCCTCGGAGACGCGCTCGGACTCGGTCCCGCGGAGCCTCGGGGTAGCTGCGGAGTGGCGCCGGCTGGCTCGCTGGCTGCCCGCACCGCGGCTCCGCACGCTCTGCCCCCTGCCTGGTCCCCCTGCCTCCCGGGATTGGCCGGCGAGCCCGACCAATGGAGGCCCGCCTGCTCCCGCCTCCCGGGCTCCGGGGCGGCGCGGCCAATGGCAGCGCGGCGAGCGCGGCGCTCCCTCCCCGCGGGGTCCCGGCCTCGGTCCCCGCCCTCACGCCACCCAGGCCCGCAGCGCCGCGCCCCTCCTCCCGGCCCGCCCCAAGGCTGCGGCCGCCCCTCCCGGGCGCTTGGGGGGCCTCCCAGCCGTGGTCCCCGTCAACTCCCTGGCTTCCGCCGCGGCGCTCAGGGCCGGTAGAGGGGACGGGAGGCTTCCCCTGGACTGGCCGACCGGCCGCTGCATCTGCCTCCTCCCGGATCCCGGGTCCATTGCGCCCAGATGCAGCGCCGGGAAGCCCGGGAGTGGCCCACGTGCCGGGACTGGGAGGCCGGCCACCGAGCCACCAACACCTGCCCTGCCCTCCCTCCCCTCGCAGCTGCCTGGGTGCTGCACCCGGAACGGTCAAGGTTCTGTGCCAAATTCGTGCTCACTCTGTGTAAACTTGAAATGCGATGCGGAAGAAATTGGGAAAGTGCTGTAGCAAAGCCTGCCGCATTTCAGGTCCTTTCCCGGGAGTTCAACCAGCTCCGAAGTCCAGGTGGCTGTTACTCCCCTAGTTTGGGGTTTGTTCGTTTGTTTTTAATTCGAGGACTTCCCTGAATGAGGCGTCTACCTGATTTTTGTTTGTTTTTAATCAGAGATCTCTTTGAATCGGGACTCCTTGTATTCTTTCCTGCCCCTTCATCTGATCTCCAAGTCAAACTGAGATGGAGGAACTTAAGAATAGAACACCCACCCCTGCCTGTGTCCGCGGGACTGGCCTGGACTCTGTCTTCAGAAAAAGCTGCAACTCAGAGATCCCTAATTATAACGCTCCAAGGTCCCCACCTCCAGAGCGTCATTTCTTGTCTTGGTGTTCTGTGCACGCTTAGGACTGGTTTCAGTCCTCTGAGTCCTAAATAAGAGTTTTGTTTCCCAGGTATAAGCTGATGTGTCAGAAAAGGCCTCAGAACCAGGGGTGGCAAAATACATGAAAAGAGGATCCCAAACAGCTCACCAAAGTTGAACCATTCTAGAAGAGAGAAAGCAGCTTGAAAAGGAAATGGAGTAGTCATGGCTCTTGCCTGCAACCCAGCACTAGGGAGGCAGAGGCAGGAGGATTGCCACGAGTTGGGAGATCAGCCTGGGCTACTGAATGAGACTTTGCTTCAAAGAAAAGGCCAAAACTTCTATTAACTTTGCAAGAATATGTCAGTAACTCAAGGAGGTAGCACTGGGGAGTGGCAAAATAGGCAGGACTGTAGAATGACATCAATGATTTGCTAACTGGGTCTGAAGGTAGTGAGGATAATTAGGGCATTCTTCCCACTCAAAGATGACACAATTGACCTGATATGGGACAAGCAGATGGGGCTGTTTTTCCAGTTGTGTGACAGTGGTGTTGTGTCATCCACATGACCTCACCCACTTTTCAGAAACAGTGCTTGTGAGACCTGGCAGCTAGATTTGAAGTCAAAAATCACAGCCCCAAGCTGTTCAATAGCAACCTAAATCACACAGCTTCCGGTCAACCAAGGTTGAGATGGAAATCACCATCAGTACCATTTTAATCTCTTAAAGTCATTCTTTATAGAATGAATCGTGTTCAGTTCTGTCATGAAAAGCATGGATTTTATTGTTTGGCAAGAGTTATTTTTAAGGATTACAGAGTTTTAAAGATTTGGAGTATAAAAACATACTGCAGATGGACAATGGATGTGATCACACAACTATGGGACTTAACACTCCTGTTCCCTTGCACAACTTTAAAATGAACACCAACATCTGTTGCATTTGTTTAGTTAACTATTATTCCCCTCACAGTACTTTAAGTTCTCTCTTGTCACTAAAACTTAAAGTAATGTTGGTCCTATCAGATGTCTCAGTGCACCTAAATTCCACCCCCTAATTTAATTCACAGTTAGGAATAGTAATGCTGTGCTTAAGAATGAAGTGTAGAGCCTGGTGAGATGGCTCAACAGGTAAAGGCACTTGCTGCCAAGCCAGATGATCTGAGCTCTATCCCCAGGACCCACATGGTAGGAGAAAACTGACTCCTACAAGGTGCCTTTTGACTTCTATGCACACACATGCTATGGTGAACCTGCTCACATAATACACACACAGAGAAATAAATAATAAATAAATGTAATTTTTTAAAAAGAGAATGATATGGAGCCAGGCGTTGGTGGTGCATGCCTTTAATCCCAGCACTTAGGAGGTAGAGGCAGGCAGATTTCTGTGAGTTCCAGGCCAGCTAGAGCTACATAGTAAGACTTGTCTCAAGAAGAAGAGGAGGAGGAGGAGGAGGAGGAGGAGGAGGAAGAGAAATAAAAAGAAGAAAAATGAATTCAGCCTCTAAGGAAGAGGGTTCCTGGCTGTTCCCAAGTTGAGGGGAGGAGGAAGAGGAGGAGGTGGAGGGGGAGGAGGAAGAGGAGGAGGAAGAAGAAGGAGGAAGAATTGTAGGAAAATAATGTGGGGACTGGAAAAATAGCTCAGCAGTTAAGAGTGCTTGCTGCTCAATCATGATGACAGGAGTTCGGATCCCAGCACCTCCAAATCAGATGGCTCACAACACACCTGTAACTCCACCTTCAAGGGATCCAATGCCCATTTGTCCTCTAAAAGTTGAGTATCTGCGCACACATGTACACACACTTATACACCCACACAAATAAAAATGGAGAGAGAAAAGAGTGAGATGTGAATTTGTTTTTAAATTGGAGATAACTGGGCCAGTGAAGTGACTCTGTGGGTAAAGGTGCCTGCTGCGTAGCCTAATGACCCAAGTCTGATTCCCAGGACCCACATCACATAAAGGAAGTTGAAAACCACTCTAAGAAGTTGCTTTCTGACTTCCATGGCATGATATGGCACACCTGCAGCCCCACACACACAACAAATAAAATGAAATTTGAAAAATTGAGGATAATTGTTAACAGTGTTATTGAGACATAACTGGCATACCACAAACACATAAGTGCAGTTTGATGTACATGCACATTCACCTCCTCCATAAAACATATCACAACCAGAAAATGGATGCAGCTACCAACCCTGAGTTTTCTTTCACTCAGCAAAATGTTCTTGAGGGCCAGTGAGGTGGATCAATGAGTAAAGGTTCTTGCCTTGTAACCCTGACAACCTGAGCTCAATTCCAGAACCCACATTGTCCAGAGATTGTCCTCTGACATTTTTATTGGTCCTGATAAATTCAGAAAATCCTGAAGTTCTAACAAGAGAGTATGTCACCACAGAGGGTCCCAATGATCTTAACTATTTTTATCACTGGAAGTTTTCTTTCTTTTAATATGAAGAATACTTTGAATTAAAGTGAATGCTCCTAAACAGTGCGACTCCAATTTTCCAGTTCCCCATTTGTGATGGCTAATCCTGGGTGTCAACTTGACTGGATCTGGGATTAACTGAAATGAAAGAGCTCTTCTTGATTGGATCACCTAAAGCCGGAAGACACACCCTAAATGTGGGCGTTACCTTCTGATGGCAGCCGGTATAAAAGACCAAGGCAGAGGCGAACGCCATGCTTCTTGCTGCTTGCCTTCTCTCTTGCTGGTGAGTTCATCTTGCTGCTGTAGACTGAAGACTAGCTGATGTTTTGGAATTCGTCAGACCTTCAGCACCAGACTGGGACTACTGAGACATCCAGCCTTGTGGACTGAGTGACTACGGATTCTCAGCCTCTCCAGTGTGGTGCAGCCATTGTTGGACTACTCAGACTCTATCCTGTGAGCTAAGCTGATAAATCTTTATACATATTCATTCTACTGGTTCTGTTTCTTTAGAGAACCCTGGCTAATACACCATTGTACTGGATAGTTTCATTTGTCAACTTGACACACCTGGGAAAAGGGACCCTCCACTGAGGAATTTCCTCCATTGGAAGGGCCTGTGGCCATGTTTATGGAGGATTTTCTTAATTGATATTGGAGGAATCAGCCTGCAGTGGCCAGTGCATCTGTGGGTCTGCACTGTGTTAGAAAGGGAGCTGAACAAGCCAGAGGAGCAAGCCAGTAAGCAGCATTCCTCCAAGGTTCCTGCTTCAGTTCCTACCTCCAGGTTCCTGACAGGAGTTCCTGCCTGACTTCCCTCAAAGATGGACAGTCACTGAAATGTAATATGCAATAAACCCTTTCCTCCCCAAGTTGGGTTTGGTCAGAGTGTTTTATCATAGCAATAGAGAAGCAGACTAGAACACTCATTAATTGAAAGCAGGAGCTGGAGAATTGTAAAAGAGTAATTTTTTTTTTAAAGAAAGAATTCTTTTCACGGGGTGGGGTGGGGGAAATGGGACATGCCTTTAATCCCAGCACTCAGGAGGCAGAGGCAGGCGAATCTCTGTGAATTTGAGACCAGTCTGGTCCACATAGAGAGTTCCAGGCTAGCTAGGACTACAGGGAGACAACCCAAATTCAATTTCCAGCCCCCACATTAGTCCCCCCATAACCACCTGTAACTCTTGTTTCAGGGGATCCAGTGCCCTCTTCTGAACTCCAGGGGCACCTGCACTCACATGCACATACCGACTCACATGCACACACACACCCACATACACATATACACATTTAAAAAAATAATAAATCTTAAAAATAGTAAATAAAGTATTCCTTCAGGCTGGGAAGATAGCTCAGTTGGTAAAGTAGTTGCCTTGAAAGCACAGGGATCTGAGTTTGATCCCCAGAATCCATGCAAAAAAGAGGTGGTATGCTTGTAATCCCCACACTGGAGAGGAGACAGATAGGTCCCTAGGGCTCACTGGTCAGTTAGCCTAGCCAAATCAGTGTGCTCTAAGCCAATGAAAGACCCTGTCTCAAACAACAAAATACATGAGACCTAAAGAACTGCCAAGTTTGTTGTCCTCTGACCTCTACATACATACATACATACAG